ATGCTTATAGGGAGCTACGAGTGCTCAGTAGAACGGGTGTGGGGCAGGGCGCGCAGGAGTGGTGCTTCAGGACTACTACCCAGAAATACGACCTAGAGATGGTCCAAACCTACAATACTAGAAAGAATATAAAGATAATAGTATAGGAATGTTTCCGGGACCTTAGCCGGAGCCACCTATATGTCCTAGATCGGGATTTCGAGTCTTAAAAGCATGGATATTCCTCCTAAAGCTACTTTGCCGTCCTTCACGACTAGATAGGTCCCTACTACACAGACTATAAGGATGTGGGCTATATATTTATATAAGGTAATACATTTATTCATTCCATCTATTCTATAACCTAATGGTAATAGATCATGGTATAGAGCAAACTGATTAGGCCCTTGTAGTCCTGATCACAACCCGATTAAGCGAGCATATCTGATAACTCCAGAAAAAACACTAGTTAAATAATACCCTGAGCTCTCTACTAGTACTAGCGATGTAGAGAGTGAATATCAAACTATACAGGGGGCTCTAAAGGATTGCTGAGATCAGTTTCCAAAGGAAATATTTGATTTACTATAGCAGAGTATGCCTAGTAGGGCGTGGGGTCAAAAATCCCTCGGTTAAAAGCAGTTGCGTAGTAGTATACAGTTAAGATCTAGAACTGATCTTTGTAGTGCTGGGGGTCAAAGCCGGACTCTCCTTGTGCCCAATGAAGATGCAGAAGGGGTTAGCGCAGGAGTTATCATTCATCGAACTCTTAGCAAGCCATGAATTCGTGAGAGTCTTGTAGACGTTCACCCAGTGCAAAAATGATCGAGCGTTTACGAGGACAGAGAGCGAGAACTCATGTCAGAGAAGAAGCCAAGGTTTGTGATAGTTTTAGCTTGTAGCAGTAAGGGAGGACCTCTAGTCATTGATGGTAAAATACTAGATCTCATTGCTCATCATCATCTCAGAAGTTGCTTTCCTGAAGGTGCAACTGTGTGTACCCATGCATTTACTCGATGGGTTTTTTTCTAATTATCTTACCAGGCCGTATCGGCTTGTCACTACCCGCCAGTGGCAACTACTTCACTTACCTTATCTTATATGAGATATGCAAGGAGCTTCATCCTGACCTTAGGTCCGAAGGTGGCTGGCTATCTATCTATGCGCACTGGGTACTCATGGAGACGTAGAAAACACTTTGAAGGGGTTACCGCCCTTTCCTAATATCGCAGAGACTTTCAAAAGATATACCAAAAGCTTATTAATGATGGTGTTTCATACATCAATTCCCTTTGGCTAACCTTGGTACTTCAACATGTTGGTCTTAATATTAATCAGTTCGGAGAACGGGCACATACAATGTGATCACAGCATGGAAAGCACTTTTGATGCAAAATATCCCAAGGAGATCTTGACAAATCGGCGCTTGGCGGAAGCGAGGCAAGAGATAAATCGTAAATGAAGAGGTAGAACCAAAACCAAAATCTAGTAAGGATGGGAGGATAGTTGTTCTCCATATCAACAGTCAACCACAGGCTCATCGAGTCATTGCAACTCGACGGGTAAGAATTTCGAAATCAGCGATCTGTTCGTAGCTAACGAAGTGTCTAGGCTACCCGTCTGAAATTGAAAGCGCTGGAAATTGTGATGGTCGTCAACCTGGCTACTTACCCGGCAAAGTCAACTTCTCGGGTCTTATTGCGAGATGCGCATGAGGAAGAGACCCACCTGTAAACATTATCTAGTCGCTGAAAGCGGTTTCTGATCTAGAAGTCACCGAACTTTTCCAACGGTGTGGTGCAAGCTTTGCTCGAAGGCACAGAGAAGACTCGGGTGGCAACGTGAACGCTGATGAAGGTCGGGGAGAAGCCCGACAAGCCAGATGCGGAATTGCCAACGAAGAAACCCAAGAAGTCCTCACAGAAAACAACCTTGAATAACCGTTTCAATAATTAATACTGTCTAGCACACACATACCTACTAGTTTCCCCACAGGTCAAGACTCAGCTAGATTCGGAGCATTATATCTCTACTAGCAATGCCCGTTTTAAATCACATAGTGTTAGTACATGCCACTGGGGTTTACATTCACAGAGAGCTAGGCAATGCTTTGCTAATAATTATAAATTAATTAATTCTCTCTTGCCAACTTCCAAGATAGGTTGCCATCTAAACCAAATTTGCTCCAACCTAATCAATAGCTTGAGCCACAAGCCTCCCAAGGGAAATTCATAACACTCTGAGCTCAGCAAGGGCAAGAATTTTCCCAACCTGATCCATACCCCACTTTCTTTCACACTCGATCAAACCATTAATCTCTTCCTCCTTTGCCTGTCCCGCCTCGAAGGCATCGTTGAGCTTGACTTTGATTTTCTCGAACCAGTTGGAGAGAATTTGGATACGCTTCATGTTATCATCATCTAGGATGTCTTGAAGAGTCGACATGCTGTGGATTAGGGGTGATGACCTAGCGGCAATATTAGTATCCATATTTAGGGATGAAGCCAGGATGAGAATAGAATTTATACGTACAGAGTCGTAACTGCTTCTAGAAACAAATCTAGTTTTTATGATTAAGTGTAGTTCGCAGTATTGCTGTATGGTAGAGAGGATTCTCGGGTGAGATTTAAAGCGCTTTCTGTTCTGTCTTGTGTAGAAGTGCCTACTTGACAATGTAACAACAAAGAATAGGTGGATTCTAGCGGCTTCGAAATTGTGAAGCAAACACGTTGTTCCTTCATATTCTGTATTCCTTTCTTTGTCCGATGATCCGGAGTAGATATATGTGAATGAAAGGAGAATAAAATCTTGCCTAGAAATAACAGCCACACTCACCCTGTCAGCAAATATTCTCTCGCCTCTCAACTCAACCACATGGACATCTCTTGATTTAACAATATCACCCTCCCAAAATTCTCCACAACAAGCAATGTCCCCCTTAAGAAAGCATGGTGCCTATTTGAACGTACAAGTGGGCCAGGACGAAATTCATGCCGAGGTATGGTACAGAGAAGCTGCAGCACAATCGGCGAAGGAAGAACATAGTAGTCGAAAGGATCCTCTCTAACGTCAAATCTACACGACTATCGCTATTCCTTTCGTTGCTTTGTTTGGTGGCAAGCAGAAGATAAAGGATAGTGAAATGCAGGATGACAAAGACGACGCTAGTGCTGTATCCTTGAACAATGCATTTATCTAGCACCATATAAGGGAGATTTACAAATCATAGTGGTTCCTCCTATCAAGGTTATTCCGTATCATTGTTCAAATCATACACAGTGGATTGATCGCCTCAAGAACAATGAAATCTAAGCTAAATATGATTGTTTCAGAACTTGAGATCAAGGTAGGTGAGGTACATTAATAGCTCACTCTTCATCTTGGTCTTGAACCATCGCACCTCTTGATCTATAGCCATTAAGTCACATGATCTACCCGTTGAACGACTCCAGAATTGCGTTTCTTACAGCCGAAAAACTAAGCCCTAAACAATGGCAAATCCTGTAAGTTCTCCTGGTGCTTCAAGTGTCTCGAAAGCACATGAAGGTGGCACTCCGGCCTCCCAACCCGCCACTCGACCAATCTCACTGTTGCGGGAAGGTGCTACAGTAGGAGAGACCTGGAGGCGGGATGAATCAATGCCTTCGGAAATTACAGAGAAGAAGAAAGTTCGACCAGTCATTAAAGCATCAAAGATGTGGATGGCTTTGGGTAAGACTGCTAATGTTCCCAATGAATCTTAAGTGGAATTCCTTTCTACTCTGCGAATGCAATGAAACGCCACGTCGCCTATTATACAACAATCCAGCTCTATATCTATTATAGTATATTGTGAGTTGGTATGATTATAATTTTCCTTGCATGCTACTCTATTCCCAGCTAATCTTAGCACAAGTTAAATACTAAGGACCCGTTTGGGTTTGCGAAATACTCAGTATTTAATATGAGTATCCGGACAATGGTATTTAATAATGAGTAAACCATTTGGACTCTTTGGTGGGCGCAACCTCTACCGCTAAGCTACTACCGGGGTTCTGTGCAAGAAAATAAACTCCAAGATCTGTCATAGCTAACACAAATTCTTCCCAGCTGCCTGAAGCTCGAGAAGTCTCATTATAATCGCCTGCTGAATACATAGCTCAAATATTGCGCATAAGCTTTTGCTAACCGCTGTCTTAATTGCGACGGGCTCTTCCTGGGTTCGCTCTTCTTGGATTGGTTCTTCGTTATTGGCTGGTATGAGACTTGGGTTTTCCTGAGCTGGTTGCTTTTCGGACTTTGTTTTGACCTTAGATTTGCACGCAACTGCCTTTACGGTGACACCATCGTTATTGCCCCAAGACTTTTACGTTGCATGCAAGAATGGTACCTTGTGTTATAAAGGAGTAGTGAATCTACTCGCCTCATCTCCTAGATTCTCGTCCGAGGCGGCCGTTTCTTTCGACAAATGTTGTTATTTTCAAGCAGAAACTGAATGTTCGAGTTCCCACGTCTGTTATTTAAGGTTATAGGACGGACGTCTTAAAGATTTGGTTGGCTTTATTTAGCAAGGGCACCGGTGCTGCTGAGTAGTTGTAGGAATTTACTAAATTTTACTTCACCTAAACTCCGACAATCAATCAAGCCCTGCCTACCCTTTCAGCGAGAATATTTTCTTCGATAGGACTATATTTGCTGCTTTTTGTCAACAACTAAGGGGATTTATCGCAGGGGTAACACATTTAGGCTCAATTTAAATAGCATCCCTGATATGTGACAACGAACTTGTACATTGTTTATCGTCGTAGGTGTTGTTTAGAAGTAACTCCAGAAGACCACCTGTTAAACCCAGGTACTTTTCATTCGTTTTTGCGATTTTGTTCTTGTTCCTTTTATTAATGTAAAACAGCCCAATTATCGGGAGCGTCTTTACTGCCTCTCACTCACTAAGCTCGGTCTAACTTCGGCCCACCTTTCAAAAATCCTTATCCACACCACCCTCATTTAAATACCTCATTGCCCCAAAGATCTTTCAACAATATGGGGGATTGGTGTAGTGGTAGCATGACTGATTCCAGTACGCAGAATTCTATTCGTAGTCTTCTATTGGAAGTTCCAGTTGGTCATCGGTTCAACTCCGGTATCCCTCAAACAACTTTTTGATATTTCTGACTCAACTTTTAGGCGAGTTCGTGTCTTTTTGCTTAAGCGAGAAAGTAGGAAGCACATTCTTATATTCAACAACCTACAGGAGGGATGAATTCTTGATCACCAAATATTCTTATCTTTTTGTTAGGTGAGCTCTAGGGCACACCTATATACACATATAAGGATGATGGCTTGCATCTTTAAAAGAGCAGGTTGGCTGCACATGGTTTACAGAATGCCCACCTGCTTACCTTACTAGGCTGCACTACTGGTGACTATCTTCAAGTCGGCTAGGAAACATACTTTTAGTGTGCTTGGTTGGCTCCGGTTGGACAAGTAATTTAAGGTACTCCAAAAGGGGAGGATGGTGTTACTTTTGACGTATCATATTACCTGGCCACAGATTGCAAAGCTGAAAGTGCGAGACCAGCAGGAGAAAGTGGCACAGCACTATCTCATAACAATTATTTTCATTTTGGAAGGTGTCGAGATGGGTGCAGCCTTGACCGCTGCAAGTAAAACCCCAGAAATATTCCTCCACGCTCACCCAAGATGCCCTTCCGACCATATTAGGATCTCCAATACCTCATCTCCCATTTCGATATTTTTCAATATGCTCTGTACTGTAACTTGCCTGAAAAACAACCACTGGACCTAGATATCGGCCACGTCCATAGTTGCAAGATCGATCATGCCCCTATTCCACTATCGCTTTGCCTCTGGAACATGTTTGTGCTTCCTGCATGCTGGCCTTCGAATTCACATTCCACACTGTCTGTTTGTTGTTTAAAACCATCTGTGGTTCCTTCATGTTGGCCTTTAAGTTGATCATCTCCGCCCAAGTCATGTACATTCTTTATGAGGTCGACGTCAGCTCCATTTTGTGCCTCGACATCATCGGGGTTTGTGGTACCGTCAGAATCTAGCTGGGCTTACTGCTCTAGGTTCTCTTCGCAAATTTCGTCCTGCAGATCAGCCCCCTGGTGGCTGTTGGAAACGTCTGGTGGTGCACTGATTACGATCCCCGGGGGGGTTTCATGAGCGGATTCCTCGAAGTTTCCGTTTGCCTGTGCTGCCACATGAAGTTGATGCTCTTCGAGAACTCCGTTTACTCGTCCTTCTTCGTGGGATTGATGACTTGCTTTTGTGCAGCGCTTTTTCCATATTTGCTCCTCTTCAGCATCTTCCTCAAACTGTCGTTTCCTTACTAAACCCTTATCAAAGCCTTCCATCGTAGTGCAAGGCCGCGCATCTCCTACGTCCGGTTGGTCATCCTCAACATACTTCTCCTCGTAACATTCGTCAAAGTCTGGAATTGGGCCTTTTCGAAAAGTCTCCTCCACGGTTTTATGACCAGGAAGCTGAGAATAAACATTTTCGGTGACGACAGTTCCCCTTGGAAGGTCAGTCCAGCCAGGTTTCCGTCCGACGACGACGTTAAGATCCATGCGGGTCCAGACCAAACCTTCTTGACAACACTCCATCATCTCTCGTACCATCTCGTTGGGATCGAAATCGACCTCTTTGCCTAGCATTTTTGCGAATCTGTAAATAATCGCCGCGACCCCGCTTGCATTTTGTTCCGTAGCAGTCTTTTGGCTCTCGAGATCATTTCCACCCATTGTAACACGTTCGTGTCTGATCTGCTGGAGGCCCTGCTCGGCGAAGAAATCCGATAAACGATTCGAACACGAGAGGTGACGACCGAGATTGTACGCCCATTTGTTGACGGTAACTATTCCGACCTGAAGCGGGTTGGGTATCTGGAAGGATAGTAATGAATTTACTGGGTTAAGCGGCACGTAGGGCGAGAATGGTACAGGTTGGGGGACCGGGAGGTTGATAGACTTCCAGCCTCTTGTTGACATGTCAGGATCGATCCATCTGAAACAATGCAAATTAGTATTCGGCTAGATGTGATTACGTGGATCTCGTGTGAGTAATGTAGACTTACATCAGCCAGCCACCAGGTTCTGTTCCTCCCAACTATATTAGCATAGACCAGGATACAGATACCAGAAGCTACTCACTCAAGCACTTCTTCAAGGTCGCGATAACTTTGGCCCATTGATCGTCTTCAAGCACAGTGACCAAACCTCGTACATGAATGCAATCATATTTGCCGTGGTACTTCTCCTTCATTGGCTGAAGCACATCATGCCGCATAAGCTTGACGTTTGGTAGGTTTTCTGCAGAGGGTGGAAACTGTTTAGTGGAGATGTCAAAACCCTCGATTTCTACTTTGACATGAGGGTAGGAGCTCGAGAACAATTTCGCCACCTCGTCGGGCCAAATAGCTGTGCCGGTAGCGAAATCTGCAATTCTAACAACTGAGGGCTTGGAGGCAAATATTGAGCTTAGGGCGATTGGGTGAACCAAGAAATTGCAGGACTCCACGATGAGTCTATGTTGGAGATTGAGTCTGAAACTTGTTAGCCTGAGTTTGAAAGTGAGTTTGAGGAGGCGCCCTTTCCTCGCTGATTCTTTCGCATCTCGATTCAGACTGTATGGATCTTGAGTTACCTTTGATTGCTGCCATTTGCCTTGTGGAGCCATGATGGTGGCTAATGCAAATGAATGAGATCTGATAGAAGTAATTGTTGGTTGTGGGGGTTGTTTGTAAGATGAGACAAGGAAGATGGCCTTGAAAGAAAGAATTTCAAGCGTCGTTGCTATCGCGTGTTGGGATGGCCTCGGCACTGAAAGGAGAAATGCAGCAGCCAAAGGTGATAAAGCCCGATTAGGAAAGGAATCTGAGAGTTTGAGCTGCTTTTAAACTTAAGTTTATTTGTGACTTTAGGCTTGTCGTGATAATGTAAAGTTGCATTGTCGAAAAAGTTTAACTAGGACTTTGGACTTCAAGTGGCCAATAGTTGTCGACACACGATTGGTGTCGGGCGTGTAAAATGTCTCCTGAGACGGGAGATATGTAAAGATGGAGTCGATGAGAGAACAGAGAAAGAAGGCAATAAGTTGAGTAGGGTTGGGTTGCGAAGCCAAGTGGCGAAGCGGAATTGAAGTATGTATTGATTGTGTTTGAGATTTTGTCTGAGGTAGGAAGCGAGGGAATAAAAGCCCAGCGGTCAGTTTATACGAGAATGAAGCTGAGGTCAAAATCGACCTGATACCCTCGAAAACTTCGGGCAGCTCGAGTCTCGACGCGAAAAATCATGCCAGCAAGCACAACGAGGATATTGACTTGTCGTTACCTTTGGAAGATAGACAAAACGGGTGAAGAATGAGCAGTAGCGGAGAGGACCTTGGTGAGAGCTTGTAGCATTGCTCGTACTTGTGCTAATCTTTGCATCCTAGACACAAGCGTGTGGCCTCTGGGGAGTATCTCAGGAAATGAATTGCACATTGATAGCATACAGGAGAAGTGATCGTCTTGCATGGAGATGCAATAACTTCAATTGCAGTGGAAGAGGCGTTGGTGACATCCGTTACGTCAATATGTACTCGCTAACTCGGTGAACATCATAATCTTTCACCTCGCCGCGGGGAAGAACACAAATTTTGGGCTGGCTTAACCTTAAATCGTATCTTGGTGAGCACTTGGTATTGGCGCCTGGTAGTCGGATGTGAGGTGAGCAAGTTTCCCCTGGGTAGCTTCGGGTAACAAACATAAGCGAGCCCGTTGCTTCATTCAGCTCAGCCCCTCATCTGCCTCGAGGTTGCTGAGTCTCATAAGAAACTTACAAGAGCACTTGCTGTTCTGTATAAACCGTCATTGTGTGACGATGAAGAAAACTGTGACTTCTGGAGCAGCTCATTGTAGGAGTGTCTGGCGGTTTATGGAGGCTGTGGTGATAGTTTCTGATTCGCCGTTGACCGTCGCAACATCTCGAAGCGACCATAAGTCACTCCCGTAAGCTATCCCCTCCCCTCAAATCCACAAGGTACTATTTCTTTCCTAATAGCTCCTCCCCGCAAACTCTCACCTAATCAGCACGACTCGATAGGAGAACTAATCATCACCAGATTCCTCTTGTGCCACTTACCGTTTAAAGTAACCCACTAGGGCTACATGAATATTCCTCTGGATAAATGATTGGTGGTGCTTCCTCGGTGCCTCATCCTTCGTACTTCTCGGGCAAGCAATTTGCGATGGCGTTCTATCCACTCAGATACCACTCCAATGCTTGTTTCCTTCCCCAGTGCCCCACAAGCAGCCAACGTTCTTTTCCTGGGGACTGCGGGGTCCCCTGCCAGTCTTCTATTGACTCCAAGAAAAAAGCTCGGGTTCTTCGTGACCGAGTTGTCTAAAGGCGCCACTAGGTCTGGTCTTAGCGAGAAGTCGAGTTGCACATGCTAGGATAGAGGAATAGAGGAACCACTAGGACGGTAGATATAGGAGTGCACCTACAAGAGAATCAAGACTATTGCACCAAGCTTGCCCCGAGGCGGAAGGCAGTTGTCTTATTCTGCTATTTGTACCCCTATTCTGGTACTACTACCACGGTAGCTCACAGGTGAAGTTGTTGGGTCAATTGTACGCTCCCTCTAGTATTCTCGTCAAATAATCAAGCCATGTTCCCTGCCTCCGGGAACCCGAATTGGCACACAGCTTTCATTTGAGAAGCGAAGTGGATGGTGGATAATGGTCTCGTGGTACTTTAGGCCGAAGGGTGAGAGCGGTTGTCAGGGGTGAATCCATAGCTGTTGTAGCTGAGCTGTTTCGTAAAAGGAAGAGATTTGCCAACTTTTTCATCATGAATCGCTGGATGAGCCCTCACACTTTAGATCGCCGCCATAATCAGTATTCACTCCTTTTCGCCTACCCTAGCCCTAGGTAAATTCGGAGCATAGATTAGGTCAGGGCGCGAGTTCCTCTGAGTTGGACAACCATATTTCCTCAATAAATAGAATCAACAACTCAAGTAAATCGGCAAAACACACCAATATGGGTCTCTGGAAGCGTCAGATCACTGTATCTGATGATACAGTGACATCTGCTGTTCACTTGACGTTAAAGCAGTCCTTGATTCCCAACTTTCTGGGT